TGCATTGAAACATTCTTTTTTTTTTTTTTTTTTTTTTTTAGAATTTATGTGCCTTTGGAATTATTGTTATTACTATTATTATTGGTAGTAGTATTTTGGTTGTTGTTGTTGCACATGTTAGGCAACTGCTCTTCAATGAGCTAACATTTCCCATCATGCCTAGCATCATATAAATGTTAGGTTTGAGAAAGGGGCTAAGCAGACACATTTCTATGTTGTCTTACAGGAACTAGCAGGCCCCACCATAGGAAATCGGTAGGACTCTGACAAACTTCCAGAGCCCCTTGGGACATCAGAAAATACTTAATCCCAGAGGTCCCACAGCTCTGCACAGCCCTCATGGCTGATTCTGGGCTTCCTGACGCAACGTGGAGATATACAACAACCTGCCTGAATTTGTGAGACGAATTCCCTAGACAACCAGACCGAAGAGAGAAATGACTGGTGTGTAAGAACTGAGAGACCTCAGATTGCAGACTTCAAAAGGCTAAGGCACATTCCCAAGGGGGTAAAAAGCCTCATTAACCAATTAAATGAGTAGATGTGGTAGGTACATGTATGAACTAACATCAAAGAAGATGCATGCTGTCTAACGAGAAACTTGCCTGATGCTGTTGCCTCTAGCATGGCAGCTCTAAATCTGACAATTAAAGAGTAACCAACATAATTCTGTACTTACTTCAGTCTCTAGAGCAGTGATTCTCAACCAGGGGTCGAGAACCCTTTGGCGGTTGCATATCAGATATTCTACATGTCCAATATTTACATTATTATTTGTAACTTGTAGCAAAATTACAGTTATGAAGTTGCAACAAAATAATTTTATGGGGGGGGCATCACCACAACACAAGGAGCTGTATCAAAGGGTCACAGTATTAGGAAGGGTGAAACCCAATGCTGTAGAGGGAAGGCTGGAAAGCAAAATGGGTTTTAAATAGGAGTAGTGCTAAGAGAAGTGTTGACAATCTTCTGGGTGAGAATCAAAGAGACCCTGGAGCCCCTCCTACTTAAATGGGTTGTAAAACACCTTTCAAACCTCTCTCTTCTCTTCTGGGTTCCTTGTGAGGCTTGTTTCCTGTCAACTGTTGTCAGATTCAGGCTGTGTCAAGTGCTTAGCTGATGGATAACTGGCTGCAGGGTTCCACCAGAGTGTCTGCTTCAGTGTATCTTGGTTGAGGGCCATGAGTCTGTGGGTTGAACAGTGTCCCAGGGATACAGGTATTGTGGACACGGACCACACTCCGATGCTTTGTGGTTGCGGTTGTTTGTTGAGCTTACAGGAGTACAAGCATGAGACACTGGAAACAAAGAAGGGCAGCCTTCCCCTGGGATCTAAGGGGAAAGAATAGATTGCAGCCTAGTGTCTCGGTTCTCAGAAATGAACTATTTAAGGTTTCTCACATAAGCTAGAAAGGCGGAACGCAGACAGGTTTAATTTAATTATGAGTAGGATTCCTTGTTTAGGTACTAAAGAAGCAAAAGGCACCGGTGATGGTTAGTGACAACTTCTTTTCTAGGCCCCACCCACTCAAGGAGACATCTGAGTTCTACTGACTTTACACGTGCAGTTCTCTATTTCAAAGTAAACATGAGATATTCTAGTTCAGCATTTCAGTTACTATGTTTAAATATATTCTAAAATGTTCCGATCACACCAGTGAGACTAAGTAGACAGTTTACAGATACATCAGCATGAATCTGTCTATCTATCTATCTATCTATCTATCTATCTATCTATCATCTATCTATCTAACATCTATCTATCTATCTATCTATCCATCCATCTATGCCTATCATCTGTCAACCATCTTTCTATCCATCCATGTATCTGTCTCTCTTTGATCTCGTTCTCTCATCTGTGAGATCCTCTCTCCTGAGGATGGGAATCAAGGCTCACAGTACCAGGCAAGTGCTCTACTCCAGGGCAACAGGGCAGTCTCTGCTTCTAGTCTTACAGACTTTCTCTTGCTGCCAAATGTGTATCAGCTTCAATTCTGCTCTCTTCAGTTGTGCACCTGTAGCTGTTTCCTAGAGAAAATTATACCATCAATGATTTCTCTCCAGGACAAAGGCCGGGAGGGCTGGGAGGGGTGGGGCTGGGTGAGTGTAGGCCATGAGACCAAAGACGGAGTCTGAAGAGGCTCTTCCTCAGCACCTCTACCTGTCCAGAACTGTAGCCACCTCTCCCGATGTAGTTTGACTCAAGGCTTCCAGTTTGTCCTGAATTACTTCTGAGTCAAAGAAAGGAAAGAGAAGATTAAAACACTAGGGTTGCAAATCAACCAGAAGTTTTAGCCTGGAATCACAGGAGATCTAGATGTTCATGACCCCCACCCCAACCTCCAATCCCTGCCACCCCAACAGCAACAAGAAGTGGCATGTGGGTCTCCTGTTGATGTCTGCTTTTCCAGAGGTGGATTTTCAAGCTTCCTGATTTCTCACTGTCCCAGCTCCCCTCTCCTCTCCCCAGTTCTTAGCATAGCACTATTCTGCGGGGCGCCACCTCGCCGAAAAGGAGAACGCCACGCTTCAGGATTCTTCTGGCAGCA